CTTTTCGAATTTGCAATTTTCCTGCCAACGTGCCCGTACGTGAGCCCCGGGCCACACTAAGCAGCTGAATCTAAAACCTTTTAATCATACATGGGTAAGGCACATTCCCCTGAAATTCCAGCTTATTAGCTTTTCTCGTTCCCGAGTTAGCAATTTTTCCCTTCCAAACTTTCACATGTTCGTACGTGAGACGTGGACGCGCGTGAAAGTTGACATCATATTCCTGGGGTCACATTTGGCCAGGAAATACACTGGCAAAATTTCAGCATCAAAGCTTGCGTGGTTAACGAGGAGAAATATCTGGATAGATAAATACACACAGACAGGGTCGCCGCAGTATGCGACTTTGCTACCTGTTGCAGCGTTCAAACGCTGCACGCAAAAACGTATAAAAACTGAAGGCTCTGTTAAAGCAGTGTTGCTGTGTTTGTAAAAATCGCAAGGAGCTGGTACACCGGCGGAGCGCAGAACACACACACATACACTGGGCTGCAGGTAGCAAGCTTCGTTCGAAGTTTCATGAATCAGTGCCATGTGAATGGGATGCAGCTGCAAGTAAACAGGCTATGGTTCAGTAGAATTACCCAAATCATACCGCCATATTGACGGACTGTGTTCTCTCGTCCATGCAGTGTACGGAAATGCCAGTTTCACGATGTGTCAGCCGAACAGCAGTGGATCTCTGATTGACGTTCTGACCACCCGGGCCCGAAGCCCTCATTGTTTCGACCTTCACATCATCCTTTGTCACACAGGCTTCCACCTACAACTGTCACCCTCGAGAATACAAATGCACCAATCAAAAATGTTTTATGTATAGTCTGCTCACCGACACTTCATCGGAGTCCTCAAAATTCGAGCAATTATTAAGGAACAAAAGCACAAAGGATAAGCGTACGATTTAATTACTGAAGATGCTGTGAGGGGTGGCGTGTCGTCTCCAGCATATGCGCTGTAATCGAAAATTTCTGCATAAGTGTAACTTTATCTCAGAAATTGCTTCGCCTTCAAACTTTCACTGTCAAATTCGGAATTACGCTCAAAACTTGGCCTGTACATCTCGGGTAAATATTCAATTACGTATCGCTGACTCATAGTTTTGCAAGTTAATAAGAGCCGGACTTCTATCTCAGAAGTGGCCAATCCGTATGCACCCTTTGAATAATTACCTTGAAAGCAACAATACACTGGTATAAAACGTGGAAACAGGATAAAAGGAACAAGATTTGACAAAAACGGTGAAGATTCTACTACACAGCAACTAAAACCTTCTAGCAGACAACTGAATACCAGTGTAAACGCGAAGGTTAAAGGTCGCCAAGCAGTATCCACAATCTAGCCGCAAGCATGCCAGATGTTTTTCTTCTAGACCTGCTTCCTGCAGTGTCTCATTCATCTCGCACGCGTTTTTCGACTGGAAATTATGCTATCCGCAAAGCTAAGTGATTTAGATGCTCGTAGTTGACGTTTTGACTACCTCTTCAATCCAGTTTGCGAAATACCATTTTGAAGCAGGACACGAAAAGCCAGAGAGACACGGGGTTGCATTATGCAGCTCATTTGATGAGCAAACGAAGTGAAGCGGTAAAAAGTGTTATGTCTGTCGAACCCCTACATTCGTTTCCTTAACAATTTCCAAACAACTCCGTCAGTCGAGCTCAAAGCATAACATTTAGTTTAGCTTTATCGAATGCTTTTTGGTAATCGATGCAAAGAAAACATAGAGGGGAGGGGGATATTCTCTTGCACACTCCAGTACATGGTTTAAGGGGAAAATAAGGTCCATTTTACAGAACTTGCTTTAGAACTCGGTCCTATCCCTCAACTACTGTTCATCGAGGAGTCTTGTTATCGGCAAATTGCGATTCTTATGAAGAGCCTGTAGATATAGAAAGAAACCAAACCAAATGGCAGTTTTCAAGGCATCCTTATTGCCCTTATACAGCAAAACGGTCTTATCAGGAGACTGGGTATTCCTCTCTCGGCCAGGTAGCGACTGCTTCGAACGACAAGATGAAAAAGGATACGTTAAAAAATGGATGTCAAAACTGCGTACCTCTACATCGGGATTGTTTCAGCCTACTTCAGTGGATGAATAACCGAACGCAGCACGCAAGCAAGCAGCATTGGACTGATATGACAGGAATATGACGTGAATTTCAAAAACACAAACAAAAAATGAAGCACTAATCTGGGGGACAAAAGAACGACAAGCTCCATAACAAACTCACCTTCTCGGGCTCAGGAAGAACAGCTACAACAGTCGTGCTCGTATGCATACGTGCTCTATCCGTAACGGGAAACCTCTGTACACGATGAACACCGGCTTCGTAGCGCAACGTCCGGAAGACTCCACCACCTCGCACAAACACTACAGCACTACGTATACCACCTGATACTCATGACATAAATGCAAAATAGCAGATGTAAGCATACTAATGGACCAGTGGTAACACGAAATAGAACTGCAATCGTGCGCTTTTGCGGCCAGTTAAAAGGGCTGTTTATATGATGAATGACAACCTTGCTTCAGAATTGTTTTACTGTTATAGCCGGACAGAAATTTCC